TAATATTTATGAAAATTTTGAGCTCTGTACATTGAATCATTTTGATGCAATGAGTTGCATATGACTAAAGAGCACAATCTGAACACTTTTCCCATGTAGCACTTCCCAGAGAAAAAAAAATCCTTTTTTAGGAAATGTTCACTTTTTCTAAATTTTTTCAATGAGGTATGAATACTACGATTAATAATTACTAACTACTATAATCAAGTGTAAGTTACTATATTAGTGAAGTTAGCAATGTTGAAATGATTAGTATTTTGGTACTCTTCTAAAGTATATTTAATACAGAAACAAAGTTTAGTTTGCAACCCCCATTAATCCACATTAGTTCATGTGCTAGTTAAGACCTAGGTGTTACTCTACAAGATGAACTGGTTAAACATATTATCAGTTTTTCATCACCCAGAGTGTCACAATGCTTTACAATTGTCACAATGAGCAGACGTACTCTTGAATTTTGGTCATCCCATTTTTGGGACTGGTCACTATAGAAAGAACGTGGATTGGGAGGTCATTTTTGGCATTTTCAGACTGATCTCCTTTCAACTCTGTAAGGGATAAAAATTCTTGTCTGTGCTTTTCCCTAATAGCATCCTTTGAGCTCCTAACTATTCCATAATTCCAATTCCACTATAGTTTTATTTTCCAGTGCTGTTTGTTTATTTCAATATTTTCTTTAGTTTTACTAGTTTCAGTTACTTTCAACAATAGCCATTTCCTTGGCATGATCAGTCTCAGTATAGTCATCCTTCTGCTTCTGAAGTGTTTATTTTTGTTTCCTTTCACACCAAATCTTGTCTCTTTTTATTCAACTGTTCCTTCCTTGTTGCAGTGGTCAGGTAACTGTGTGCTCTATCTAATCTGAACCTCAGAATACAATATTATTATATTTTGCACTGCTCATTTGAGTAATATTAATAAATGAATAAAAGTTGGAATGTCACCTGGTATGTAGTGGTATACTTATATAAACATTGTCCAAGTAGTTATTAAAAATAACACTGTAATGGGGTATTATTACCATTAAAACTATCCATTATTACTGTTTGTCCACAAGATAAGTTTCACTTAACTTAACACTGTTTGTATTAGGAGTATTAGTAAAGCCGGTATTGTCCTTCTGAACAATATTATTTTTGCTTATACTGTTTACTTGATTTGTTTTCCTGAATCACATGCAATGATGAATAATATTTGTCTTGAATCCTTACTAATTAAATAACACTCATTTTGGTTTTCAAATACTTAATTTTACACATAAATTAATTTTGCTATGTACTGTCTGTTTATATTGTAGACATCTATTTTTCATGTAGCATTTGCTTGCCTAGTACCATGTTATGTATATGTATCTTAAATTCTTAATAGCAGAGTATTATGTCTATAGAAGTTTATTATGTTTATAAATTTATTAATGAAACTGGCATGTTTCTTATCACACAGTCTAGTTTTATATACAAACTCAAAGAAGTCTTAAAAACAAATCCAGAAAAGTTCTAAATGAACAAACCAACTTAAGCTCCTCCCCACTTGTCTTTAGGTGAATGTCAAGGTCACTTCAGGTTCTTTGTTTAAACATATAAATAAACCCTGTTACCAAAAATTTCAGTCTGTACCTGATGATGCCTTTACTTGCGAAACCATGGTCGTGAATAAATGACGTATTTGTGAAATGTACAATTGTCTTGTTCCCTAAATTAATTTCTTTAGCATGAAATATACCAATATCTTAATTTTAAAATGTTTTACAGAAACTTGTAAATTAAAATTATGACATTGACATATAAGCTTAGAATAATCAAACTAGCAAAATGAATATAATAGTTACTTTAAAGATGTGAAAATAAAAAGATACTTTAGATATTCTAAAAAAAATTTGAATAATAAAATACCTTATGAAAAATAAAGAGAGAGTTACAGAAATCCCTATTTTTAATACAGAGATATCAGAAGGTTTTAAAAGTCACATACATGAAATATAAATGGATGAAAAATAAAGAGAGAGTTACAGAAATCCCTATTTTTAATACAGAGATATCAGAAGGTTTTAAAAGTCACATACATGAAATATAAATGGATGAAAAATAAAGAGAGAGTTACAGAAATCCCTATTTTTAATACAGAGATATCAGAAGGTTTTAAAAGTCACATACATGAAATATAAATGGATGAAAAATAAAGAAAATCATGTCGTTTGGTACACTCTCTTAATAAAACAAAATAATTTCTCCTTTACAGTTTTATAGCATTGATATATATACAACTTGTGGTAAAAGGTACTTAAAGTTTTCACATTTCCTAAATCCAACACATTGAGACTTTAGTAACTCAAATAATGGATGTTTGAGCTATCTTTCCATATTCTAGTAAACACTGAAACATGCATCACCAGACCTTATAAAAAAACTTTTAAAAACCCCAAAAATCACATTCCTTACAACTTAAATAGTGGATTTGTTTATTTTGAAAAACCTAGAGTTTTTACAAAATGAAGAACATACTAATTACCAGTTTTACAAACAGTGAACTATACCATGTTGAAACAATTACAAAAGCCACTGTTTAAAAAACTCTTACCCATCTCCATTGATATCCAAAGATGCCAATGCATAACCAAAAGAAGACAAAAACTGTTCCCCATCCAGTATATGTTCAACTGAAAATTTAGAGTCATCATTCACCTTTAACTTCTTAAAGAACACTACTTGGCCTGTACCATTTGAACGTGGAGCACCTCCCACAAAACTGGTGTGACTTCCAAAGAACTTCCCTCCTGTAACTGACATTCCTAGAGAACAACATGACAGAATGTCTAGAAACTACAGGAATTAACAGCTACTAAGCATGTAGTTATTATTCATGTTTATATATTCGTTACTTTTTGTGAATTACATGATACCTGCAACATCCTTCAAAATTCTGTGACACTTATAGATAGTTATAAATATCAAATTCAAGGCTTCCTCAAAGTTGTAATAAACTATTAGCTGATTATACATTTCTCAGCTATTGAGTACATTTATAAGATATTACTAAACGTGTTACGCATAGACACCGTTCATTTAATAAATTATCTTTTATTAGTAAAATGTTTTTTGAACTAACTCATAGAAAATTTAGCACTAATATTGTTACAAAAAACTAGTTTCTTTAGTTCTAACTAGTTCTTGTAAGGTAACCTCAAAGTTTCATTTGTGCCAGATCTATGCTCTATACATATTCATAGAAAATAATAACTTTACTACACATTTTGTATTATTATTATAACTTTAAGCATTCAGATTTATTTTAAGACATTTTCACGTAACACTAAAATTTACTAGATGATAACTAAAGAAATTTACAGCTGAACTACACTGAAAATGTCTTGTCCTGTGGTATGTTGAAAAGTATATACACTTATCATTAATTTTTCAAAAACTAATGAGTCTGATTATCATTTATAAAATATGCTGAATTAGTAATCGGCTATGACTATTTGCTGCAAATAAACTAATCGGGCATTTTATACATAACACAGAAATAAGATTAGCAATGATTAAAAGAACTGCTCATCATTCTTATAAACATTTGTGAAAATGGACTAAGAAGACTTAATTTGTTTTAAGACAAAAATAAAAGAAAATGACCACTAATTTTATAAGTCTATAAAAAATTGATGATACTAAATACACAATTTAACTCACTTATTTTATCCAGAATACTACATATTTCATTATTAAGATAATGTTATAAAGCCAGCAAATTACAGGATTGAAAGGTTCATATTAATACCAATTAAAACTCGACAATTCCTTCGTAGAAGTACCTACCAAGGTAACTATATTTTCCAACTGGTGAATCATTGTTTAAGGGACCTCTATGCCAAAATGTATCATCCCAAATATCGAATCGAACATTATTCACAAACAAGGTTCCTTTCCATGTATATGGTCCTGGAGTACCAAATGCTACTTCATTGTTCTTCAGGAAATAAAAATAGTCTTAGAATGGATTTCCCTTTACAGTGTTTTCTTTCAATGCACTAATAATAACAATATCAATCAGATATCTTCTCTAGTGCCAAATAATTGCAATTGAAACTCTACATTTTCCTGATAGACTTTCATAAAACATTAACTTCAAAAGACAAAAACTATAAAAAATGTAACTGTCTTGTATAACTTAGTTACAATTTACCAATTTTACACACATCACCAGAAGTCCTCAAAATGTTTTATACACACTACATTCAATGAGTTTTTATTGGCTGAATACAAGTATACCTAAAATTAACGAGTTATTATTGACTGATTACAAGTATACCTAACATTTAAAAAAAATTTTGCTGTCAATTTTGCTTGTTAATTTAATAACAAAATTTTTTTTTCCTACATACATTTTATACATTTGCAAGAACAATGTATAAAGCAAGTTTTCTACATTCTTTTTCTTACAAATGCATGTATACTCCTAGTATAGATTAATAATAAGACAAAATACTTATGATAACACATAAGTATAATGTCTCTTTCATCTAAGCAGTTTGCACTGTGTTGTTATACATGCAGTCAGAAACTATGCAATACAAAAATATTAAACTTTGATGTCTTTTAAAGACAACTTTCAGGATAATATATTTTCTTAAATATTTTTAGCTATATTCAACTTCCTAAAATATAATCTTACATACATATAACATAATATTGTGGTACAACATGGGACCTATTGGTCCATCTTGGCTGTTCCATCCTCAAAACTAAAGTGATTAAAAAATAAAAAATTTTAAACCCAGACCTTTTCATTCATATAGTTATCAAGCTTTTTCTTAAACTCACTTAAATTTACTGCCTCTACAACATATGAAGGCAATCCATTCCAAAGGCCAACCACCCTGTTAGAAAAATGAAACTGTCTTGGCTGAAGATGACTCCTACCTTGCCAAAATTTATATTTGTATCTAGTCCTACTATTCTCATTGTTAAATATAAAAAAAGATGATACATCAACACTATCAATTCCCTTTACAATCTTAAACACCTCAATCAGATCCCCCCCTAACTTTTCATTTTTCAAGAGAAAACAATATGAAAGATTTCATCCTCTCGTCGTATGACAACCCCTCCATCCCAGACACCATTCTAGTAACCCTCATCTGAGCCCTTTCCAGCAATTCAGTGTCATTCCTAAGGTAAGGAGCCCAAGACTGAACACAATATTCCAAATGTGGCCTAACCAGTGACTTGTACAATGAAAGTATAACCTCTTTAGACATGTATTCAATATTTCTATAGATACAACCTAAAATTCTATTTATCCTACCACTAGCAACAGCACAATGCTTGAATGGCTTTAGAAACTGATCACATATTACACCAAGATCCCTTTCTTTTGTATCACTGTTAAGGTTATTCCCATCCAAATTATACTTATAATTCAAATTATGA